GAACCCACCATAAATGACTGCTCTTCGGGTAACGTGCTTCCACAGTGCCTGATGGGAGCATTAGACTTTTCTGACCCTGTCTTGAAACATCATGCTGTTACCCCAACGGACAGTCCAGGAGCCATGTGGGCTCCAACTGCGATACCAGCTGTCCAACTCTGCAGGTTGAAGGCAGCTTTCCTGAAAGAAAAGGAAAGGAAAGAAGAAAGGACAGGAAGGAAGGGGAGAAAAAGAAAAGAGATAACCAAAGACATTACCTGTACTGACAACCCATCAAAGAGTCAGGTCTCTCCACGTCAGATGCCCTAACATCTCTCCGGGTCACACCAGGAACATCACCCAGAGTCACTGTTAGCCTCTGGGTGGGGAGAAATTGTTCACATCTAGACCTTTTGCTGGTGCAGTGTTTCACTTTTTCAGTCGGATTCATTGTGCCTTCCTCCCCCAGCTTTATGGTCTCCCAGTCAGACTGTCTCCTAGCCACCCCTCCAAGTTCCCCTTGATCTGGACGGGGCTTACTTAGATCTTCCAAGCCCACTGCACCAGCGTAAGAGGTCAGATCCAGTGGCCCCTCCTCCTGTGGCTACAGATCAGCATCTCAGGTGGAGACTCACCACACAGGGGGTGGAGGGGGTAAGACAGGAGTGGAAGGAAACCTTGTATCTTTTCATGGAAGGCTGGGGGCGTTTGTGTATCTTCTCTAAGCTACAGCTACAGGGGCGTCTTTACTTTGCTTGAAGATGGGTTGAAAACACCTCTCAAATTGGCATCCTTCCTCCTGTTCTCAATAAAAGTCTGCTTGTTTGGGGTTGGCAAAGCACCCCAACTGTCCACTAATTTACGCTTGGTAGACCCTGGGGAAATATCCAAATAAGTTCTGCTCTCAGGGACAAGGAGGCCATCACTTTCATCTTTGTTAACCTGGGATCTTGAAAGCACAGGAAGACTTAAGTTACCAAGTTAGGGCTGAAATCCTTGCTGCAGACCAGCACGACTCCATTCCTTCTATTTCTTCCTTCCTCACTCTCGTAGGCTTCTGATCACCGCCTTCTCCATCCGATCCCCCTTCTCCTTCCTCCTGTGATTCTCTTTCTGTCTCCACCCCATCCCCTCTTCCCTTCATTTCCTCTGAAAAAAACAAGACACACTGAGATGGGGGAAGAGGCAAGTCAGAGCAAGAAGGGGGCTCAGTGAAACTCCTGGGAGTAGCAGGGTAGGACCTGTCGTAGCCTCCCCTGGCAAGACTCCATCCTTTTCCAGATTCCTCCCAGAATCTGAAGGACAGGGAAAAAGAAATACTTTTATGTCCTCCTTCCTTGAGCTTGCAGTTGTCAGCTTTAAACAAAATTTCCTACTTATTTAAGTACAGTCTCCTACCCAGTAGCTAAGGATGACCAAGTGCCACTCCAGTGCGGTCATGGGCAACATTAATTAGAATAGACGATTTGCATATCAAGTGGGAATCACTTTAAAACACTGAAAAAGATTTCCCTTAAAGTGTCCACTGTCACATAAATACATATACTTTAAAAAGGCTGTTCAAGTGATGTGCTCTTCACTAGTTGAATAAACACTGGTATAGGAGCCACAGTCAAGGGGTCCCTTTAGAGTCTGAGGGTAGCTGCTGTGAGGCCGACAACGGCCAACTGTGTTTCTGAATCCTAAGTGCCGACCTGTGACTCAGTATTCTGAGTGCTGGGGAGACGGGACCTGCTCCATGCGTTCTTGTGGAGCCTTTCCTTCTCTGCACCTGGTCTGTGTGATCCCATCTCTCTTCTGTTTCAAGCCTGTTTCCTGGCTCTTTACGGTACATTGTCCAGCAGCACCTGGATTTGCTTCATGCTCTGCAGGAAAGGGTCTTGAAGTGGCCACGCCAAGGAGTCCTTGGAGATTTATTCCTCAAGTTAACAAATGATGAGGTAAGTGTGAGTTTTTTTTTCAATCCTTTATAAACTTGAATTAGATGCATTTGTGTCTCCTTTGTCTGTTTCCTTTAAAGGAGAATCTAGAATGGGTGAATTTCAGAGGCAGAGGAACTCCTGCAATCTAGTCTAACCTCCTCATTCTAGAGATAATGAAATGATGTTGAGAGAGATTAAAAGACTTTGCTGAAATCACCCAGCTATTTGGATATTTGGAGATCTGTGACTTAGAACCCAAGTTTTAACTTTTAACTTCCACTTCATCACTTTCCACAGTACTGTAATTGTCCTCCACTGAATGTGTGTATATTTGTATGTGTGTGTAAATATGGATACACACATATATATCCATATAAAATAAATATATGAGGATTTGTATATATGTATATACTTTCACACACAATTTCATTTTTTAGAGATTTTTAAAAATGTGATGGGCAGCTATTTGTCTGGAATGTTTTTTGTTGTTGTTGTTTTCACTTCCCTGGAGAAAGGATGCTAAGTTTTGAAATCTCTATAATGTTCTTCAAAGAAAATATGATCCACGCCACAAGCTGCAAATTCAAATGCCAGGGGCATTCACAAGTGGAAGTGAGCTGACTGTCATGAGAGGTGGACTGCTGGGGAGTGAGCTTAAGTGTTCTTCTACAAGGAAAAACTACCCAACTTTATCCAATTATTATGTAGGGGAAAAGACTGGAGATGCTAGATCTTCTGATATTTTTAAGAGAAGAGGGAAATCCAGAATTTTGTGTGAAATTTTCTTATTTTAAAAATATTGTGTGGGCTAATTAAAATTTATCTTGCAAGCCAGATTTTGCTTGCAGTTAACCTCTGTATATCAATGATTCTCAACTGTAATTAATCATACAAACTTTACAGATTATTTACTTGTATGTAATGCTAACCCTCTAATGCTGCTTTTACTCATTTGTATTCAGTATGCTTTCTTGAGCTGAGAATTGTTATACCTATGGGAATATAACTTTGGAAGGTGAGAATGTTTTCCTGAGGGGCTATTCCATAGGTGAATATGCAATTACTGGAAAAAGTTGAGAACCACTGGTCTAGACACCATGAGGTGGGTTGGACAAAGCTCTCATTTGGATGTAGATGATTGAAATGAAAAATAATTAAAAACCGAAATATGCATTTTTATCATTTAACAATTTAAATGTACTTTTTCAACATGGCCCCTCCTCCCATGCCTTGGTTTACCATTTCACGTTCTCTCATTAAAGCAGGGCTATTGAATTTTGGTTCCTAAGTCTATAGGGATATTTTCCTTAAAACTCAAAAAGATTTTTTTAAAGGTGAATAAAAAACCAAAAAGATATTAATAAATACATTAAATGAATGATTATAATAATCTCTGCAAAGTGCTCCTTTTTGATACACATGACTATAAACATATTAGTTATTATCATTCCTGTTTCCAGGTTCTCACCATGCATTTTTATGTTTGTTTTCAAGAATAACTTTTTGGATTATTATGTTGCTTACCTGAGGGACCTGCCTGAATGCATCTCTTTGGTTCACGTGGTTGTTCTGAAGGAGGTAAGTTAGCTCTACTCGGGCACTGCCCTTTGGTTACACGTGTAACTTCATGACGTTGCTCATCCACCCAGGAGATACAGCACATGCACTCGGAGCTTGTTCTCCAGGCTGGGGAATGACCTGAACAGAGCCCTTGACATTCCTCCTTGGGGTTAAAGGAGCCCACTCAAGGGTCAGTACCACTGCTTTGGTCTTTGCCCTGCCTTCCTGACCCTCTGTTCCATTCCACTGAAGTACGGACAGAGTAAACAGGTGTATTGCTGCAGTGATATGTTAGGTGCTAAATAAACATGTATATAAATAAATAGTTACTTTAGGTAAATAGAGAAGACCTATATCAGAAGCTTTAAAGCTAAGCATTAATCCAGCTTCACAAGAGGTGAGAGGCTCTATTAATTTTCTACTTCAACCCCCTACTACTCCCAATGCAGTATGCCTACTGCATGTTGGCACTCAGCAAGTATTTGAGAAAGGAAAAGAGAAAGGGAGGGAAGGGAAGGAAGGGAAGGGGAGGGAAAGGAGAGAGAAGGAGGGAAGGGAAGAGAAGGGAGGGGAGAGGAAGGAGAGGAAGGAAAGGGAAATGGAGAGAGTCCAACATGTTCCCTGCTGCCAGGCCAGCTGATCAATTTCTAATCATATTCCCTTCTCCATTCTCATGAGGCTCTGATCCACCCTTAGTACGTGTCAGTAAACCGCTGTAAAGATTACTTGCTAAAGAACTGTAATGAATTTAGTCAATTCAAACACAATCTGTTGAGTGCCGTGTGCTAAGACGGTGTTGGAGGGTGGGAAGGAGGGAGTATTTGGAAAGCTTGGTAGATTCAAAAGAAGTATATGATAGGCTCCCTGCTGGAGAAGAGTTGTCTCCCTAAGCATGTCCCTGAATAAGTGGCCTCTCCAATGACAGATCAATGCTTCATGATGCCCTAGAGGAAGAAAATGCTCTGGGAGTAAACCCTTCTTACCCTGGTGGACTTGACTCTGGGGCTCTGCAACCAGAGGTGGAGGGACACTGAAGACTGACTCCAACTTTCTCTCATTAGGGTGATGAAGAGATTAAGTCTGACATCTACACACTGTTTTTTCACATAGTGCAGCGCATCCCTGAATATCTGATACATCTGCAGGTAGGCATGGCTGGGTAAGCCACTAAACTGATCCCCATGATAAACAGTTGCTTTTGGCTTCCAACTGAAAGACACTAAAGGGTCAAGGAGTCATTAATATTTCTAAAACGTGTTTTAAATGATTTAGATTGTTATGATTACTCCAACTCTGCCTTGTGGTATGAGCTAAAATCTCAATCTCTAAAAATTTTTGGCTCATGATGCTAAAAATGAAGTTTTATCTTCATTTACCAGCAATCCACAGTTCTGCTGATCCAAGGCCTTTCTATAGCAGCTCCTCTTAGAGCCTGGGTACCAATTCAGTCCCTCCCACCTTGGTCCTACCACCATCTAAATGCACCCCCTACCCTACCCCCTGGGCATCTGAGAAATATCTATATAGCCTCCCACTTACCTGCTATCCTGACTACTTTCTTTTGGCCTGCGTCCAGGACAATACATTGCTCGTGTCCTGTGTCACAGAAGCACGGAGAAGCTGATGAGCTGACTTCTTCACATCATTTTCCCACAGGGCGGGTAGCACCTTGGAGGCAGCAGAATTGAAACTCATCAATACCCCTGCCAATCCCTCTCCTTCCCGCCACCCACCTGTTCTGGTGTAATTGCTGACTCCTCTTCCTAAGTAATTCAGTGACAGCATCTCAGAAATGCTTGAGATTTATCTCAGGCAGAAGGAGCCCTATGTAAATATTAAAAAGACTTTCAATTGCGAATGGCTTTAGATCTTAAAATCATTTTCTCACTATAATTATCTTACTTAATCTTTTCAACAATCCCATAAAATGGGTATCATTATTACCATTTTTTTAGATAAGGAAATGGAGAGTCAAAGAAGTTACGTAAGTCGCCCAAGTTAAGACACCTAGTAGGTAAAAAAATCTAAGACTGAAAACCAGGTCTTGCAAGCAGTATCTAAATAAGTAAGGAAGAGCCCTGGTTTTACTGTCTGCCTTGAGTTTGAATCCTGCCTCCACTACACATCAGATGTATGACCCAGTGAAGACTATTTAACTTCACTGTGCCTTTATTTCCTTATTTATTAAATGGAGGTAGTAATAATTACCTAACTCGGTTGTGGTAAAAATTAAATGAGAAAGTAAAGTAAAGGGCTTAGTGTTTGGCAAAGAAGTACTCAATAACTATTAAAACCTTCCCAAATCCAACTAGGATGCATGTTCCACTACAGCACAGCAGGCAATGTAATGGAGTGGCATTGGTGGGGTGGGGGGCGGATACTAGACCAGGTTGGATCATAAACATCTCCTCACTTCCAGCCTTGCAAATGCCTGACATTTGCACCATTGGTCTGACTCTTTTGGATTTCAAGGCAATCCTTATAGACAGTAATTGTCACAATGGCTTCATTATCTCAGAGATCTAATTAGTAGATCGTTCTAATTTTTCAGATGGGATTATGTTCAAATTCAACTCAAACAGGAGCAATAGTGACTATTATTTTCGTGTGGTGTGATGGACAAAGAGAACAGCAATAATAATAAGTAATAAAATAATAGTAAGTTCAATCTTACAGTTTGTAATTAAGTTGGCCATTTGGATTGTTTTGATTAAATGGCTACCAAACTCTCACAACAGATCAAGGCAAGGCACAGAAGAGACAAAACTTTTCATTCTAATTATGCACTGCTGCTTCCTTTTTTCCTCCACCCAGAACGTCCTGAAGTTCACAGAGCAGGAACATCCTGACTATTACCTACTTCTGGTGTGTGTTCAGCGCCTGCGAGTATTTATCTCACACTACACCCTGCTGTTTCAGTGCAATGAGGATTTGCTTATTCAGAAACGGAAAAAGCTCAAGAAGTAAGGTTCTAATGGTACAGTCTAGAGGGTTGATCAAAGGTTTCTGAGGCCAGGGATGCAGATGGTCAATGTGAGTGTTTGTCACCAGTAACCACAGTGTATGTAAAGTGGCTGAAATGCAGTGATGGGGTAGAAGAGAAGAGAGATGGGCAGGGAAGAGAGGTGGCCAGGCTGGCTACAGGAAGGAGGTACTTAACTACCTGGTGGAAATTACTTTAGAAAAATAAGTACTTTCACTCTAATGCCTACACAGACCTTCTATTACTGCATGTTGCTAACCACTTCAAAAATAGTTGTTTCACTAAACTTGCCAGGTTTAAAACTGCAGTTGAAAGGTCAGAATGTGATTTCTTTCATTAATTCAAGAAATGTTTATTGAGCACCTATTGTGTATCAGGCACTGTTCTATAAACTGAATATACTACAAAGAACAAAACAGACAAAAATCTTTGCCACCTGGAGCTGACTATTTAGGCCAGTTAGTAAGTAAATTAAATTGTGATGAGTGCCATAGATAGAAATAAAACAAATAAGGGAGGGGTGGTAGTTGAATGGATTTCACACTGAGAAGAAACAGGAAGGGCTGATTAGGGAGAATCTGGGCTTCACAGGGAACAGAAGCAACCCTTAGCAAAACTTCCTAATGACCTGGATTTCCTTCAACCTCATCCCAACTCAACGAGGAAAGCAGAATCACTTCTGTGGGTGCTTTACCCCAGAAAAAGATGCTATCTCCCAAGTCAGGGCTCCTCTAAAGGACGACATCTCACCGTATCCCCCTTATACCCACACTCAATTCAGCTAATGAATCAGCATTCCTACTCATACCCAGCCTTTAGCTTGTACCCTATTATGTAAGCAACCTGGTTTGTAGAGAGCCCTGGAGAGAGAACTTTACAGCTGAGCTTCATCTGAGAAACACTATCTCTTGGTATAATCTATGTGTTCAGAGAGCCAATTTCCCACTGTACACCCTGAGAACTATTACCTCCATTCCTGTTAGGTCATCCATGGCGAAGCTGTACAAAGGGCTGGCTTCCCAGTGTGCAAATGCCGGGCAAGATGCTTCTCCCACTGCAGGGCCTGAGGCTGTCCGTGACAGCGGGATCCACTCAGAAGAGATGCTGCAACCCTACCCTTCTGCTCCCAGTTCTGGCCCTTCTGTCACGTAAGTACCTGTTGCTGTGTGAAGGTTAATGGCAATGCCCTCAGGTCCCAGGCAGTCTGTGTGGGGTAGCACACCAGCCTGCATTAGGAGTATAATCTACAGGACTCTCCTCCCTCCAGCCCCATCAGACTGTATGTGCCAGACAAGAAGCTGACCCCATGCTTGGATCCCAGAGGAAGGTACTAAAGTCAGGCAGCAGGCCTAGAGGCTGGTACTGGAATAGAAGAGAGTGCCATAAAACTACAGGAAGGCATCTTGCAGCCCATCAGAAGGGTGGGAACACACTTAAGGTCTCCAAAAGATTTAGTGGAGAAAAATGGAATCCTGGTTGGGGGTCAGAGGAAGCCTGAGCTCTGAGGATGAGAAATAATAGGTCTGAGGTGATACAGACAGGATGTTGTTTAGTCCTTCCCAATTCTCCTTGAAGCTTCTTCAGAAAGCGACTTCATGAGCTCTGTTCTTCGCTTATGATAGCTTCTCCAAAAACTCTTTTGGGCAGTGACTGGATTTGACAGTCTTTTAAAGTTTCTGCACACAACTCTCTTGCACACTAAGCTCGATTCTTATTCAGCAAACTTCTTGATCTTTAGGATAAAGATCAGGCCATTTACATATGTGGAACTTATTTTACCTCTGAAGGGTAAGTCAACTTGGCTGCCTTTGAAACCAGGAATTCTGTAAGAATAAGGGAAATCAAATCTCGAAATTCCAGATCCCTACTTTACCAAATACAGACAATTCTCAAAAAACGAATTCTTCAGACCAGTTTCTACTTTGGTTTTTCTTATCTTAAGGAAAATTGAAAAATCACGCAAGAAGCTACGTTTCTTTTCTAAAACTACAATGAAGTGGGAGGTAGGCAATTGAGATTATTTCAATTTTTAATCACTAGTTTTTAGAATACCAATTACAATCACTGGAAGGAACAACTAATCAATAATACAAAATAAATCCTGTTTCCTTTCTGCCTTCATCTCTTAAAACAGAACATTTAGAGCGAGGGATGGAAGTGCAAATGTGTAGAGGCAGGAGGGAAAAATTTCATAATCATTCTGAAAACCCATGAGACATTAATCTTCCTATAAAGAGAGCCCAGGATGATTTTCTTCCTATAGAAAAAATCGTAGAATTCCCGTAGGGAGAGAACTTCACACAGAAAAAATACATTTCCAGGAAGCAGAATTTTACTTTGTGGGATCACTTTAGCAGTTAAGACAATGATAAAACTATCTTCTTTGAAGTGAGACAAATACAGCCAAAAAATGAATCCCGAGAGATTATATCCAGGCTGAACAAGGCTTTCCCAGGCTGTTGCACTCTGTCTTGGGGAAACAGCCAGGAAAAAACCCAATAACAATCGTACAAGTTGAGAGAATTCAAGTCAATATTGCTTTTTACCTCTGTAAACGTGAGACCTAATTTTCATCCTGGGACCACCAGAGGTTAGCGTTTACATCTTCATTCCTTATGCATTTTTGTGGCAGAATCAAGTATGAATAACGTAGCACAATAACCAGTTTGGGTCAGTATCTAGTAGTCTACTCACATCTGTCTGGCAATTAAATTCCAGTAGAACTGGCAAATCACATCCAATCTAATGGGTATGCTATATAAATTATTCTTTATCCATGATTAAACAAAAAACCCTCCATGAAGTTGGGTATATTCAGAGTGACAGTCTTTCACTTTAGTAATGCTTTTGTGGGTGGAAGTTTGAGATGACCGATACAGCATGCTCTATGGCCACAAGTCATTTGTTTTTTATTATGAAAATCTCAAACATCCACAAAAGTAAAATGTACAGTGAATCTCACGTACCATCATCCACATTCAACAGTCATCAAGATTGTACCCCACTTCCTTCATCTGCCAATTTCATTGTTCTTAAGCATTAAGACCCATGAGTTGAACAAAAGTTGTTTCCATTATTCTACATGACTCTACTAGGGCATGAAAGGGAAAAAAGGGGTGCATTGGGGCCTTGACACGTGGTAGGGAGGGTCAGGGCTTCCACACAGGGAATGAAGAGCACCTTGGCCTACCAGCCATCTCTACGCAGTGCGTCCTCGCCCAGACTGGTACTTCTGGCATCCCCTTCACAGATGGTCACTTTCACTCTCCCACTTGGGGGACCAGGGCTCGTAGGAACTCCGTAATCGCAGAAGCCAGTGGCGCTTGGTGGGTAACTTGTAGGTGCCTGGGTTGGGGGCGGCGGGGGACGGAGAGGAGAGGAGCTGGCAATTTGCCCCTAAACTGTATCTAGCAGGAAGCGTGTTGTTCTCAGCCCCGCTGCTCGGTGAGAGGCCTGCACCAACAAACCGTGAGCACACCTTTTGCGTTCTGTTTCCCCTTTAAAGGCATTTGATGCCCCCAGTGAAGAAAAGCCAACAGCAGCAAAGCTTGATGGAGAGCATGCAGCCCGGAAAGCCCAGTGACTGGGAGATGGAGGGCAGAAAGCACGAGAGGCCCGAGAGCCTCCTGGCGCCGGCGCAGTTCTGTGCCGCCGAGCAGGACGTGAAGGCGCTCGCCGGGCCCCTGCAGGCCATCCCGGAGATGGACTTCGAGCCCTCGCCGGCCGAGCCGCTGGGCAACGTGGAGCGCTCCCTGCGCGCCCCGGCCGAGCTCCTGCCCGACGCCCGCGGCTACGTGCCCGCTGCCTACGAGGAGTTCGAATATGGCGGCGAGATCTTCGCGCTGCCCGCGCCCTACGACGAGGAGCCCTTCCAGGCCCCGGCCCTCTTCGAGAACTGCTCGCCCGCCTCTTCCGAGTCCAGCCTGGACATCTGCTTCCTGCGGCCCGTCAGCTTCGCCATGGAGGCCGAGCGGCCTGAGCACCCGCTGCAGCCGCTACCCAAGAGCGCCACGTCGCCGGCCGGCAGCAGCGGCGCCTACAAGCTGGAGGCGGCGGCGCAGGCGCAGGCGCAGGCGCACGGCAAGGCCAAGCCGCTGAGCCGCTCGCTCAAGGAATTCCCGCGCGCGCCGCCGCCCGAGGGCGTGGCCCCGCGCCTCTACAGCACGCGCAGCAGCAGCGGCGGCCGCGCGCCGCTCAAGGCCGAGCGCGCCGCGCAGCCGCACG